CATTACGTGTTACCAGCGTCACGTAACTTCCGCTGTCGTAACAGTATAGTACCTATCTCATTAGTTATAATTTGGGCATAAAACGTTTACTGATAAAGCCAAAATTATAGTTGGCCTTATCAAGAGGTAGAATAATATATTTCTTTTGTATTTTACTGATTTTAACTTTAAGTTGAAATAAATGTTAAATCTATTTACTTAAACTAATAAAAGTTAATTTTCTTTAATTCAATTAATAACATCATATCCCCATTCTAAAAACAAACTTATAGGATAATGTGTAGAATAATTAAGTTTCAAAATATAATAATCTACATTTTTCTTTATCGAATTTAGAATATCGACTTTCTTACATTTTATACCTATTCTGTATTTAACACCTTTTTCTATGATTTTCCTTAAAGAATTGTCTTTAATTATATCAAAATTTCCAGTAATAATATGCCTTTGAAATAATCTGTTAAAGAATTTGAGTCACTCACATGGTAAATTCTTCACATTATTAATATCTAAATTATTTAAAAAGTCTTTATAATTATATATAAGCGGTATATCTAATATTAACATATTAGTACACAAATTGATTTTCAATTGGTTCGAGGGAAAGATTTTAAATATTTAAATTATTTTATAATAAATATAAAAAAGATATTTATACAAATTTGAAAATGGTGATTTAAACAGATTTGTTATGTACAATAAGATAATTTCTAAAATTGGAATTGATTGGAATTACTTATTGAACATTTCATATCTTGTATAAGTAGATTAATGTAGTGGTAGTTATATAACCTTCCCTATATAAGACCTGCTACTGTGTGGATCTTTTTAGAACCATTGAAGATCCAGATAGTAGTATGGAAGATATACTAATAATATTTAATTATATATATATTTAATATATATATATAATAGTAATACCTTAACATCTTGGTATTTATGTCCAAACATCATACTGGAGGCTGGAATTCTCACTTCAAGGACAATTTTGCTGTCTTCCTCATTGATGTAACATATTCTATTATTTCTTGCTGCTTTTTATTTTTGTGTTTCTAATTTTTCTTCTTC